TTTCTTTTGAATACGGCCAGTAGAAATATTTATTTTTAATTTTTCAAAATATCGGGTTTTTACTCGCACAGTCGCACGCGCCTGTCACACGCTGATGTTCGGGAATTAGTTCACAATCAGACCAGGAATGGAAATACCATAATAAAAGATGTTTTCAAGATACAAGCTCAAAAATAACACTTTAAGTAGTGTTTTGAATTCGCTTTCGAACAAGAGTAATACAAAGAGGATGCGTCCCAAGGAGCCGAAGTTATGTTCGCCGAAAGGTATGCCCAGTTTATATTTTTATCAAGTATAAACATTGCGTATTTGATATTAATATACAAAATCCCGCTTGACTTTCAAAGGTCATAAATCGCTATAGTGTTGACATTTCACTAAAACTATCATAGAAACTAGGAGATATTTTTGTACAGAATCGAACGGTGGTATTTTCATCTACATAGCGTATATTGAACCAAAGATACGAACCTCCAAATAAATCAGGTCGAAACCGACTGAAGGTCGCGTTTGTTTATAAATATTGCTGAAGTTGAAATAGTTGAATTGTATTTTCAGTCTTGATAATAAATTTAATAATGGTTCTGTATGCTATACATACTCATTTTTTTTCTCTTATGCGGTTTTGGACACATTTCTAAAAATACAAATGTCAAATATAAATTTAAATAAAAGTTTTCTCAGTCATTTTGAATTTGACTTGAATTTTGCGTTTGATAATTATACGCCCCCCCCCCCCGGTTTACCGCCATATTGGGTGTGGAATCGTGCAGAGGCTTCGCGCCTTCATAGCCAATTATAAAGCCTCTGCGGAGGAGAGAGTGTTCACAAAATGCAAAGGCCAAAGGCACAGAATAGACTGCACAGAAGCCCGACTTGGTTTTCCTTATGATTTTCCAATGATTTTGGCGTAACCGTAATTGACGTATTTCGTCATCAAAATGCTGACGCCATGGGCCTAGCCAGTGCGCGTTTGAGAGGCAACCTCAGGGCATTTGATTACCTCCGTACGGTCGGGTATTTGCCACTTGACAACAGTTTGCTCAGCGGTTGTCCCTAAAAATATGTACACACTCTAACGCTTCCGGAGTTTTCTATTTTACGTCTTTTCAATACTGTTTAAAAATTGCTTCTGAACCACAAATATCAATCGTAGATACATGATATCAATATGCCCGATTGAACAAAAAGAAGAACTGACTGGCCCATTTTTCGTTCTTTTTATTAAACCATTCATACAAACGGGGGGGGGGGATTATATACTTTACAGCATTTTATAGGGGGGTCTTCAACATGAAAGGGGGAGGGATACAAGATTTTTGTTTATGACATAAGAATCTCCCACCCCACCCTAGGGTATAAATAATGAACGGTCCCTAAGTTGTAACTTTTTACACGAAATGTTTGCATGTCTTTTTAGACTTTCAATGTTAGAAAAATCAGTATCACGTAATACTGTAAAGGATACCGGTATAAGTCAAGAACTGTTGTTTCCCTTGCATATTTTTGCTTTAAAATTATATTATCTCTATTGCGAAAACTTATATCATTTCTTAAATAGAGATTCTCAGTTAAGAAATGATATAAGTTTTCGCAAATTTCTTATATATTAAAAGTGTTTTTAATGTTTTAATATAATAATTCTTTTGAGTAGCTCTCGCCATTTCTTTGGGGAAATCTTCAAGTTTCAATGGAATTTTAGTTAAGCGCAAAAATGCAACAAATTTCCTAGCCTAATTTTCGTTGCCCGCGCCTCAACTCCAACCCTTAAAACCGCCAGCTACGCAGGCTACAAATTTCCCCGGCTGTTGTTCATTTGTGAAATTCCATTTTGAGAGTGGAAACTGGAAAGTGGAAACACTCGAAATTCGCGGGCTTTCGTATTTTGAGTAATTTGAGCACATACTGTTAAATATTTTGCATAAAGAATTAAGACAAAAACGATGTAAATTTTGTTTGAAAATGTAAATTTTAAGACGAAAGATGACATTCTGCTCTGTGTGTGGCGCTGAACACGTGCAAAATGCGAAATTCTGTCATAAATGTGGCGATGAAATTGTGCCACAACGACAACAACGTCAACATGATCTGCCAAGCACGCCATCGACTTCGAGAGTTTCTACGCCTATAAACACGAATGATGGGAAAAGTTCTGCGCGGAAAGTAGTACTTCTAGTAGCAATCATGCGAACAGATTATCGTTTAGTGCGTATCGTATGAGGAAAGAAGGGGAAAGATATGTTTTAAACCCAAGCTGGGACCCAAAGCAAAGAAATCAAAGACCCAGGATACAAGAAAGGCTGTGGATGTAAAAGTCAATGTTGGCATATTGATATGCAGAGATGGAAAGCTTATTCCAAAAAGAAACACGACGTTGCCGTTGACTGTGAGCGACCTCACTGGAGTAAAAGAGTTACTTAATAAAGCAGTTGAAAAACATAGCAGATTTAACAGTGACTTAATTTCTAACAATCCTGAGCTGTATAAATTGTTGTTCAGCAACCATGCTAGGGTGCTGGAAACAATTCCAGGATCTGATTAACTATTTTCACTCCGACGTTATAAAGAGGAAATTGGGAAACCATACAGTAAAATATGTTTTTATCTGTGCACTATGACCGATTATCTCAAGGATACCATTAACTCTTCCTCATCTGATGAAGATATTTCCGGGTTGATGAAAGAAACTAATACACATGAACTAATTCAACCGAATCACTCATGTGAAGATGAAGAAGTTGCTTCACCTACTCCTGCAGCAACTATTCAATGTCCTCTTTGCTTGTACAGCTATCCTGTTAAGGACATCGAGGCTCATGCAAGTAACTGCTCAATGTGGTTGTTAAATGAAAATGATGAAGAAAATCCTGAAATTGCAGTCGGCCATAATGAATCAGACAAAGTAGAAAGCACATTCTCAATCGACAACATGCCAAACCAAGCAGTGAAACAAATTTTAATTGAAGAAATCAAGAAAGTGGTAGAAAAACACTTGGAGAAGGATAGACGTAAAAGAGTTACTGTAAGGCGGAAAGTAATTTGAGATGATTTTAAGAGTGAGTTACAAAACAACAATATCACACCCACAACACGGATCAAAGTTATTTTTGCAGGTGAACCTGCAGTGGATGATGGTGGTCCACGGCGTGAATTATTCTCAGGTATTACAGACTCAAATTTTAAAGCATAATATCCACTCATTTACATTTTACACCATGTTGGTGACAAAAAAAATCATATTTAGTTTAAAGAGGCTGTCAAGTCTGTTCTACTCATGCACGCGTGTTTTGTTTACATTTTTGTTTTGAACAATAGATAATTTAATTAAAATTCCGATCTGTGGGCCCACAATTTAGCTCATTATGAATTCATAATATATCACAAGGGAAAATGCCAAGAAAGCATTTCTTACAGAGGTCTGGACAAAATTTGACTGCAATTCATAGGGGTCGAAAGATCGATAAATGGGGGGGGGGGAACATATTCATATATTCGTGTTCTGCATTATTAAATTTCCCGTTTGCAATCTAAAATGACTGAAAAACGGCGAACTTCGCAAGCTGTGATGAAATTTTTGTCCAGGCTAGTCTAGATCAAAATTTCACTTAAAAGGTCTATTGTGGTGTTCTATTCGTTGAACTTTTTTTACTTTTAGATGCACATTTCCGTTATTAAATTAGTAAAAGCACACACATGGTATGAACCGCATGATCACTAGAACATGCTAGTAACTTTTTTGAAAATATTGTCCTATAAGGATTCAAAACTGTAAAAACATTAAAAATACAACAAGGCAGTGCGAAGATATGGCGATTCAAAATTCTATTTTTACTGAAAAATCAGCCATTTTGTTACTAAAAATAGATTTTTTTCGAACTTTGATTCGCCATATCTTCGCACTGCCTTGTTGTATTTTTAATGTTTTTACAGTTTTGAGATCCTTATAGGACAATCTCTTCAAAAAAGTTACTAGCATGTTCTTAGCTCGTGTTTAATTTTTTGGCGCCAAAGTTGGCACGCCAAAATGTAACAAAATCGAAAAACAAAAACATACGATTTTTAGGAATGTGAAGTTCTATCCTGTGGGGGAATTTCGTGATATTCCAAACTAACGACAGAGAGTTATATGTACGTGGCCAAATTTGCTGTCTTTTTTGCCCACCGTGAGTATATACTATAATGAAGAACACAATACAGCAGTGTAATGTTTAATTTTTTTATCAATCGCCGATATGTTTCCTCTTTTTTTTATGCCTTTGGCTCATTTTATAGCAATTTTTATCGTAACTGTAACTCTAAAGCATGTGACGCTCGAGCGATTGCTGTTTTTTTTAAACAGCGGTTTCAAATTATTCTCCTTGATATTTTATGCGAGAAACATGAACATGGTTAATTACAAAAACAAGGCGCGTTTGTCGATACTTCAATTCAGCCATAAGTAAAGTGAACAGCAGATGACAACAATTCGAAGTATTCAAGATATATTACAAAGCTTGTAAATTGCTATTTAAAGAAAATATTCCCTTAGGCCGTTCATTGAAATGTAGCCGCCCAAATTCAGAAGTGGCCGTCCGTAGGACGGTCGGACGGCCGCCTGGTTAACACCCTGTTCAGTGCCATACTGTAGAAATAAAGTTTGTATTCAGTGCTATACTGTAGAAATAAAAAGTAACAATTAAATGCTTTTATAGTGTTCTGCAGTTTAATGCAACATAAAAACATATTATTTTTCAGAACTGTTGTCAATAATAAGAAGACGGTTTTTTATTGGAGGAAAGCCAATTAAATCAACAATGGCTGTAAGTTCTGGCGACTTCAAGCAATGTGGGATAATAGTGGGCATGTCTATAATGCAAGGTGGCCCTGCTCCTAACTTTATGGATCATGGGGTTTCTTGCTTTCTAACTGGCTGCAAATTGTCAACAAGTTTGATCGAAAATCAAGGATACAAGGAAATAGTTGCATCTGTACGTTATTGAGAGTATGTGGTAATTTTTATTGTGACGCGATTAGAATTAGCAGTAAGCAATCTGAAATTCCGCATTGTTTATCTGTTCTATATGGTTAAAAATTAACCCATTAATTAATGTACATGCATGACTTAGTTAATTAAATTAAACTCATTAAAACATAGTAGAATACTAACTGTAATTCACAATCATTAATAATTCATGAGGAAAACACAAAGAAAAATCATAACCGTGTCGTATCTTTATATGTGATAGAGATTTCCCTTGACTTACTTATATAAACTTTAACTTTGATTTTCTCAATTTGCACAACGTATGTTTTGGAAATTACTTTGCCGATGAACTTACTAGACCGATCGTTTTTGAAGCAATTTAAAACATTTAAAACATGTTCGGCTTTGCCCAGCATCTTTATATCTGATAAAACACTGCTGCTTATGTTTTAAATAGTACTTAGAAGGGTAAGCATGGCGGGGGAGCATTGCATGTCGAAGTGTTAAATTTTTAGTATCAATTTTTCCAAGTTTGTGAAAAATATATTCTTCAGACTATCAATCATGATTTACGACGTTATCAATAACCATGCTTATTTGAAAAAAAAGTGGAACTGACATAGGTTTTTTTCATTTTACTTATCAAAGGAAAGGTCTTGGATGTTAACAGGTTATTTCAGAAACATCCTCAGAGATATTGTACATAGTGTTAACCTGACCTCTCATAAAATATGGCACACTTTTAAAAAGTTCCTATGGAACTTTTAATTTATGCATGAATTTGCTTATTTCTATTTGTAGTTGTCAGCTGCATCTACAGATAAAGAAGTCCGAGATATCGTCATGAAGGATGCAACCATTGATATCTTACAAGACCTTGGATACACTGGGGTTCCACATAGGGAAACATTAGCCAGCGTCGGGCGAATTGTGCAGTATGTGTCATATATGTCTTTCAATTTTCAAATACTATTATAATGTTCATATTCTAGGAGAAAATTGCAGTGTTTGTATGTCTTTGTTAAGCTTAACCTGTAGGTTTTTAACTAGTTTTTTTTTCAATTAATAAGAGTATTTATAGTTCACACCACTAACAAAAGAATGTTTTAGATCAATATGCCTTAAAGACCAAGTTGGCGATCACCTGTCACAGCTTCTAGAAATAAAAGCTGGCTTAGATGCATGTGGTATTTACAGCGATGTTCTTGGCAAAACACCAGAGATTTGGCAACTCCTTTTTAGCTCAGGTGGTTTTTTTAAACTATCCGCTGATGAATTTCTGGATGAGCTTACCGATGTCTATAGTGATTCTCAATTAAGGAAGAATGCCGAGATTGATGCAAACAAATGTTTTTGTGATGCAATCCTCTCTATTGATGCTGGTGGTAAGTTGCATCCTATAGCAGTTGACTAATTTCCAACAATTTCCAATGCTTTTTTTGTTATGCGCAGGAAGTTGCACAAATGATGACACAGCTGCTAGTATTTTCCTAATTATATACAATATGTAATAGTATGGGTGTTGAAGGATTAGAAACATCTGATCATTTAAAGTGGATGACAGGATCTCGCGAAGTGCCACCACTTGGCTTTCCAAAGAGGTTTGAGAATCAATTTGTCCATGCCTGCAACCAGGGCTGTAGATGCAGGCCAACAGTGTCAACTTGCGATATGTCCATTAAGATGCCCGTCCATATCAGCACAATTGACACAATGAAGGAAATGCTCCATTCTGCAGTGAAGGACTCTCATGGTTTTGGAAACCTTTAAGAGTGTATGTCAGTAAAATTCGAACATATGAGACATTTCGCGGCCACGACTGAAAAATCGATTTTGCTCAAATTTTGCCCAGATATACCTTATTATATCGGAAAATGCACCATATAATTTTTTAGGTCAAATGCTTTTTTAACTTTGAGAAAATGCCGTTTTAACACGACCACCCTAAATCGCCATTTTTTTCTGGGAAAATATGCGCTGATTTTACAGATAAATTTCACCACGACAACCGTTTCTAATCGATCTAAAACCTTAAAAATCTTGTTTTCGGTCATTCAAAGGACGGTATACATGACTTACAGGAAATCTGAGTTACTTTTAGGAATAGATATAATCGTAGTTTTGGAGCACACTATCTTACTTCATTTACGATACCCTCTTAACAAAACCGATTTTCACCATGCGATAAAGCCCCAAATCGATCATGCTTCTACTAGTTGGCTCTTTAATAAGCAAGCTTTCAATTGACGTAAATACTTCTTTTGGCAAATGAATACGCGATAAACGACAGCGCGTTGAAATCGTCCGTTTTTGACGTCTTGCAAGTCAAACGCTGTTAATTTACATACCGTCGAAGTAAACAATTTAATCAAGTATTTTAAGTATTTTACCTTTTGAGAAGAAGATATATTCTTGAATGGAGACTTTTTGCGTTGCTTAGTTTAAAATTGGTCCAAAAATCCCGAGATATTTGTAAAATATCATCATATACAGGTATTTTGAAATATAATATTGTAGTGTCAGTTGCATGACAACTTCAGATCATTGTTCAATATTGTCTACTTTTATTAGCGCAAACATACAAATCGATGAGCTGTTTAGGGATTTTATATTTGTTACTAAATTTCCCAAAATTAGAACTTCAATTGACAATTGTTGTTTTGTTCCAGTTTGCATTGATCCATATAATGTACCATTTAGTATTTACATATCGACTATCGAGTATATATAAAAATGTTTACGAGTACATAAGTTAATTATTAAGCAGCTGTTAATAGCGTGCGTGTGAAATGAACATTTATCCATACAAGGATTTGTTATTTTATTATATATTCTACCACCTCAAACTCAAATTATAGGCATATAGCAAATACTGTAGTTTAGAATAATGTGTGTTTACTTTGATGCACAGTTAAAATAATCAGTAAAATTACTTTATTTTGATACACTAATGTCTATTGATCTTATTATATTTCACAAGTACTAGTACCCAAAAATACAGCATTGAAATATGTTGGCCCAGTGCGACACCATAAATTATTATTGTCTCCCCACACGTCGCGTTTAAAGAAAATGAAAGCTTGTTGCTCGTTTAACGCCGGATCAACCACGTGTCAAATACGGCAAATGCCGTGGGCCTCGCGCTTTACTGTGCTACGCCCATTTTTACGAGAACACGGCCATTTTCTATTGGGACACACCCATTTTAGGTGCCTCGCGAATTTAGGGACCTCGCGCATTTAGGGCCCCTAGGCTTGGCAGTTCGCCCTACACGGCGCCGGGAAAATATGCAATACTCGTGTTCATATAATCTTTAGTTGCGTTGAGCTGTTATATTATGATCCTGTTTGTACCCACCAACTGCGCCAGGCAAGTCAATTATCTCGTTTATAATTGATGCAAATAAATTGAAATATTGAAAAAAATTATTTAACACTTTTGTGTGTCTTTAAATTCAATGGTTTTCATAAAAAGAAGAAAGGGGGAGGTCTGGGGGCCTCGCGCTAAAATTTGCCACGGGCCTCGCGCGACGTTAATCCGGCCCTGCAGGTCACTTGTCGGTAGTTCTTGCGGTTTTAATGCCAATTGACAAAGATCAAAAGAGAGCACTGATGACTCCCCCCTTCGGAGAAATACTGGCGCAGCCCAAACCAGCTCAGTGAAATATGGGGCCCCAGGGCCAATTATACCCTTGGGGCCCCGGTGAACCACAATTACCCCCCTCCGTCGACAAACTTTTTATCGCCTTGCAAATTTGTATCTGCCTGTCTTCCTTGAGCTGGGGTCGCGG